TTAGTAGAGACGGGGTTTCACCATGTTGACCAGGATGGTCTCGATCTCTTGACCTCGTGATCCACCCGCCTTGGCCTCCCAAAGTGCTGGGATTACAGGCTTGAGCCACTGCGCCCAGCCTAACATGGTTTTAATAAATATTTTTGGTTACAAAACTGACTTATATAATGAAACAAAGAATTTTGAATCTGAAAAACACAAATAAAAATCTGTGTATTCAGTAGTCTTTGTGTCACCTTCTCCAAATTCTGAAATACAGCTCATTATTTATTTATTTATTTTTGAGACAGAGTCTTGCTCTGTCGCCAGGCTGGAGTGCAGTGCTGCGATCTCAGCTGGCTGCAGCCTCTACCTCTAGGCTTTAAGCGATTCTCCTGCCTCTGCCTCCTGAGTAGCTGGGATTACAGGCACCTACTACCATGTCTGGCTAATTTTTTTGTATTTTTAGTAGAGATGGGGTTTTACCATGTTGGTCAGGTGGATCTCAAACGCTTGACCTCAAGTGATCCACCCTCCTTGGCCTCCCAATGTGCACTGTGCCAGGCCTACAGCTCATTATTAATTCATTCTAATTTATAAATAAATCTCATTGTATTTATTTCAGTAGGTTTGCAAAAACCAAAACATTTTAAAAATAAAAAGGAGAGGTCCAGGCGTGGTGGCTCACATCTGTAATCCCAGCACTTTGGGAGGCTGAGGCAGGCGGATCATTTGAGGTTGAGAGTTCAAGACCAGCCTGACCAACATGGTGAAACCCCGTCTTTACTAAAAATACAAAATTAGCCAGGCGTGGTGATACATGCCTGTAATCCCAGCTATTCGGGAGGCTGAGGCAGGAGAATCGTTTGAACCCGGGAGGCGGAGGTTGTGGTGAGCTGAGATCATGCCATTGCACTCCAGCCTGAGCAACAAGAGCAAAACTCCGTCTTAAAAAAATAAAGAGGAGAAATTTGGACACAGAAACAGACACACACCCACAGGGACGACATCGCCTGAAGATGAAGGGGGAGACTGAAGCAATGTGGCTACAAGCCAAGGAATGTCAAAGATTGCCAGCAAAGCAAACTGCCAGAAGCTAGGAGAGGGGTCTGGAACAGACGATCCCTGGGAAGCTAACCCTGTCCTTGATCTTGGACTTGCAGCCTCCAGAAACAGAAGAGAATACATTTCTGTTGACTAACCCCTCAGCTCCACAGTTTACAGCATTCCTACAGCTGCCCTAACAAACTCATATACCCCAACTTATTTACTTATTTTTTGAGATGGAGTCTCACTCTGTCACCCAGGCTGGAGTGCAGTAGCATGATCTTGACTCACTACAACCTCTGCCTCTCGGGTTCAAGCAATTCTCCTGCCTCAGCCTCTCAAGTAGCTGGGACCACAGGCATGTACTACCACGCCCAGCTAATTTTTGTATTTTTAGTAGAGATGGGGTTTCACCATATTGGTCAGGCTGATCTTGAACTCCTGACCTCATCCTCCCACCTCAGCCTTCCAAAGTGCTGGGATTACTGGCGTGAACCACCGAGCCTGGCCTATTTATTTTTGAGAACGAGTCTTGCTCTGTCACCCAGGCTAGAGTTCAGTGGTGTGCTCTTGGCTTACTGCAAACTCCTCATCTCTTGGATTCAAGTGATTCTTCTGCCTCACCCTCCTGAGTATCTGGGATTACAGGTGCCCACCACCAAGCCTGGCCAATTTTTGTATTTTTAGTAGAGACAGGGTTTCACCATGTTGGCTAGGCTTTCTCGAACTCCTGTACTATAGTGATCTGCCCACCTTGGCCTCTCAAAGTGCTGGGATTCCAGGCATGAGCCACCGTGCCTGGCCTGTTTTTTGTAGAGATGAGGTCTTGCTATGTTGCCCAGGCTGGACTCAAACTCCTGGCCGCAGCCTTCCAAGTAACTGGGACTGCAGGTGCGTGCCATCGTGCCCAACTATGCCAATTATTTTAAAACACACTCTAGACAGTGTATCATATCTTTTTCTTTTTTTTCTTGAGACAGGGTCTTGATCTGTTACCCAGGCTGGATTGCAATGGCACAATCTCAGCTCACTGCAGCCTCCACCCCCAGGGTTCAAGCAATCCTCCCACCTCAGCCTCCAGAGTAGCTGGGACCACAGGTGTACCACCATGCCCGGCTAATTATTCTATTTTTAGTAGAAATGGGGTCTCATTATGTTGCCCTGGCTGGTCTCAAACTCCTGTGCTCAAGCGATTCACCTGCCTTGGCCTTCCAAAGTGTTGGGATTATAAGCATGAGCCACCAGGCCCAGCTGTATAATTTTTTCTGATGCCTGTGAAATCCTCAGGCTGGCTGAAGGACTCCAGTGTGGAGGAATACGTTCTGACCCATTTCTTTTGAAAATCCATCTGGGCAGCAGTTGGTCCCACCATGTTTCCTGATAGGTAAGATGCAGACTGATCGACGTTTATACTCCTGGCTGCAACTCTCCAGGCTGGGCCAGGCACTGTCAGGCCAACAGCTGGGTGTGACTCTAGGCATCGGTGCCCCTACAGAACTGGCAAGAGGAATGGTGGCAAGGCGGCATTTTCTGCAGAGCTTTGGCAGGCCTTTAACTGGTTTTAATAGCTTTTTCTTTTTTACGTTGTCAAATCTGCTGCTTCAAGGATCAAAGTCTGTGTCCCCTGAGGATGTTTGGAGAATATGTTGCACTCTCTGAAGGCAATCCCAAGAGAGGAATTCCAGAGGTGTTTTCAGCTAGGGTTGGCCCAGCAGGTAGGGATGGTTGTGTGACTGCTTAGCCTGGCCAGGTCCACACACGCAGAAAGCAGTCCTGATTGACCCTCCTCCCTTCTTCCTTTCCTTTCCTGATCTTCTTCCTTTCCGTTTCATTCTGTTTCTCCTTCCTTCCTTTTCTTTTTCTTTCTTCCTCCCTCCCTCCCTCTCTTTTCTATTTCCTTCTTTCTTTCTCTTTTCTTTCAGCCAGAGTCACTGCAACCCGAGTTCAAGTGATTCTTCTGCCTCAGCTTCCTGAGTGGCTGGGATTATAGGTGCCCGTGACCATTCCTAGCTTGGCCAGGCTGGTCTCAAACTCCTGATCTCTGGTGGTCTACCTGCCTTGACCTCCCAAAGTCCTGGGGCGTGAGCCACTGTGCCTGGCTGGTTGACTTTAAATAAATCCATCACATTGTCTTATAGTCTGTTGTGGCTATTAGGAACAATTAACGTGGCAGGCAAACAACCTCAGCAAACTCAAGAATTGGGATACTGGGTTTTTAAGACAGTGTTTCACTCTGTCACCCAGGCCAGAGTGTATTGGCTCAATTTCAGCTCACTGCAGCCTCTGCTTCCTGGGCTCAGGTAATCCACCTCAGCCTCCCAAGTAGGTGGGACCTGAGGTGAGCACCACCACGCCCAGAAAATTTTTGTATTTTTTGCAGAGATGGGGTTTCGCCATGTTGCCCAGGCTGGTCTCGAACCCCTAGGCTCAAGCGATCCTCCCACCTTGACCTCCAAAGTACTAGGGTTACAGGTGGGAGTCACCATGCCCAGGTGTTTTTAAACAGGTGCTTATCCGCCCACTTACAGCAAGACGTTTACTTTTCTGACTCTGCTTACAGGAAGTCATTGCAATGAAAAGTCAGGTTTGTGCATGACATCTACTTGTACAATCACGCAGGCACTCTCAGGCTTCATGAAGTACGGTCGTAGACAGGACTGCAAAACCTCTCAGGGACGGGAATGCCCAGCGGTGGTGCTCAGGAGGTGGACCTGCCAGGATTCAGCTTCTAGGAAGTGTGGGTGCCCACGAACCTGTGAGGTCCTGGAGTCTGACTCATCAGCTAAGTGAATTCTTGTAATTCCCACAAATAGCACTGGGGTTCCCTTAAACCAGATCCCCAGTGGTGCCCAGAACCCGGGAGGGAGCCCAACATGCCCAATGCAGTTATTAGAAATGACACTGTCTGTTTATCCTTCTTTATTTAAAAATCCAATTTATTTTAAAAACACAGAGAGAATGGAGGTAGGAGCCTGCCTGGGCTCTCCATGGAGTTGCCCCTTCCCAATGGTGATGGCCACTCCACACGGTCTCAGATTCCTCCCTGGGATGATAGGGTACGAGTGGCACCTCCCTCGAAGGGTGGGTGTGGGTGTGAGGCTCCCAAGTCGGCCAGGGACTCAGCCTGGCTCAGAACAGGCGCTTCACATCAACAGTGGCGTGGGGAGGCCCTGGGCCCTGGGTGGTTCGGGGTGGGGATCAGGGAAAGTCGCTGTAGGGCAGGCTGAGAGGGTAGAGCAGCCTGTAGCGCATGTCCTGCCAGAGCAGCTTGTCCTCCAGGAAGGCGATGGTGGGCAGCGTCAGGACCAGGGTCTGGTGCTTGAGCATGCTGTACACATTTAGGCCTGAGGGGTTGGGGGATGGTCAGGACGGGACTGCCTCTCCCACCCCACCCACATCAGAGTCCCTCCGTGTTTACAGAGACCCTCAACTGTGCTCTAGTGTGACTTTGTGAGCCCAGCAGCCCGGGCCAGACCCTGCCTGGTCGCTTGTTGCCTGTAAGCTTCTGGCCAAGGAGCTGTTCTCAGCTCATCACCTGCTGACTGAGAGCCCCCGAAGTGTTAAGGCTCAGCCTGTGCCTAGGCGGGACTCCTGGCTCCCATTCTCATAGGGGAGACCCAGGGCAAATGATGGGAGGGCAGGGAGGTGATAGGGCTGGTCGTGCAGGGCCTGGCATAGCACCCTGAGGATTTGAGCTTTCATCTTGAGGGAGGTGGGAGCCAGTGAGGGCTGTGGGTTGAGGAAGGACAGGACCTGACTCAGGCTCACAGGCGCCATCTGGTGGCTGTGGAGGGAATAGACAGTGGCGTTGGCAGAGGTGACCTTGGAGCTTTTTTTGGGGGGACAGAGTCTTGCTGTCACCAGGCTTGAGTGCAGTGGCAGGATCTCCGCTCACTGCAACCTCCGACTCACCTGCCTCAGCCCCACCCCTGAGCAGCTGGGACTATAGGCACGTGCCACCATGCCCAGCTAATTTTTTGTATTTTTAGTAGAGACGGGGTTTCACCCTGTTGGCCAGGATGGTCTCAATCTCTTGACCTCGTAATTGGCCTGCCTCAGCCTCCCAAAGAGCTGGGATTACAGGTGTGAGCCACCGTGCCCGATCTCTTCTTTTCTGAGACAGAATCTCGCTCTCTCCCCTAGGTTTGGGTGCAGTGGTGTGATCATGACTCACTGCAGTTTTTGGCCCCCTGAGCTCAAGGTATCCACTTACCTCAGCCCCCTGAGTAGCTGGGACTACAGGCGCACACCACCAGGCCTGGCTCATTTTTTTATTTTTAGTACAGATGGGAGCCTCACTATATTGCCCAGGCTGGCCTCAAACTCTAGGCCTCAAGCAAATCTCCTGCCTTGGCCTCCCAAAGCACTGGGATTGCAGACATGAGCCACCACACCCAGCCAAGCATTTTTTTTTTTTTTTTTTTTTTTGAGTCGCAGTTTTGCTCTTGGTACCCAGGCAGGAGTGCAGTGGCTCGATCTCGGCTAACCTCAGCCTCCGCCTCCTGGGTTCAAGCAATTCTCATGCCTCAGCCTGCCGAGTAGCTGGGACTACAGGCATGCGTCGCCACACCCAGCTAATTTTTGTATTTTTAGTAGAGACGGGGTTTCACCATGTTGACCAGGATGATCTTGATCTCTTGACCTTGTGATCCACCTGCCTCGGCCTTCCAAAGTGCTGGGATTATATGAGCCACCGCGCCCGGCCCAAGCACTTCTTTAGGAAAGGTTATTGCTTTGGGCAAGCTGAGGGCTGGGTCCGGGACACTCCCCAAGGCCAGAGACCAGATGCAGGATTTGAACTGCCCTGTGATTCTAACAGCAGAGCCTGCTCATGCACACTCTGGGGGCCTGGGAAGTGGGCTGGGCCCTTTGCTCACCAATAGCTGGGATCAGGGTGAAGGTCTTGAGCCTAGAGGTGGCCTCCACGATGTTCTGTGGCATCTCCTCATGTGTCCTGTAAAAGAATGGGGAGTGGGGCTTGAACCCTCATAGTATGGAGCTCAGGGCCCCCTGCCCCTGCTCTGCCCTGCGCCCTCACAAGTTCACGAGGAGCACAGAGTCCCCCCAGCGGCGGTAGCGGGCCAGGTCTGTCAGGTACTGGGGGTCTGGGGTCGGCAGCTCTAAGGAGTCCACAATGTGCAGGTCGTCCTGGTGGGAGGAAAGGATGATGTGAGCCCTGGGTCCGGAGCAGCCCAACCTCCAGCAGCCATTTGGGCCCCCATGGCTGTACCTGGGCCAGCTTGACGGTCAGTGCCACTTTGAGGCCCAGGGCCCGTACCTTCATAGGCAGCATGTAGTAGTAACTCGTGGGACCCCGGGGGCCGTGGGCAACGCCCCCTGCAGGAACAGAGGCATGTGAGCAGGCAGGGGCCGCTGCAGAGCTTGGAGGTCAACAGTCTGCTGCAGTGATGGGTTTGGGGTGATACGACAGAGGGGGTGCTGCCAGGAACCAGGCAGAGAGGGCAGGGCCTCAGAGGATGCTGGACCAGTGACTTTGCTTCACTCGGCTTCAGTTTCCCCAGCTGTCACACTCTGAGACAGGGCTGGCCACAGTGGCTCACACCAGCATGTTGGGAGGCTGAGGCTGGAGGATCACTTGAGCCCAGGAGCTCAAGGCTGCAGTGAGCTATGACTGGGCCACTGCACTACAGCCTAAGCAACAGCGAGATCCTGTCTCAAAAGCAAACAATCAAAAAACAAACCACCTTGAGAGCAGACAGTTCCTGCCTCATAGGACACATAAGTTACGGTGTGGATTCCGTAGAGTGGCGTAGAGTGTGAACTTAAGCACAGCTGTTCATGCTGAAATTATCACGAGGTTCTAACTTTCAGGTTTAGAGAGACAGGCAGGCATCAGGCACACACTCTGATGGAGCAAGCAGTGTGATTTGGGAGCAACAGCACTCGGGGAAATTCCCTAGCAAGCCCCTCATGTTGGTGTCCGCCCTCACCTGGGCCTTCGAAATGCAACAGAGAAGACAATGGACACAGTCGCTGCCCTCACGCTGTTCACATTCCGGTAAGGTCAGAAAACAGGCTAAAATGCAGAGGGAATCAGGGTAGCCCGAGGGGATGCGGAGGCAAAGGAGGTCAAGGAGGGCTGCTTGGAGGAGGTGTGGCCTAGAACCGTGAAAGGTGAGGAGAGCTGGCAGGGTAAACAGCTGAGAGGGTGGCTGGTGCCACCCTGAGTCATCTTGTTAGCATCCAAGAAAATAAGAGGTTAAAAACAAGGCCGGGCGCGGTGGCTCACACCTGTAATCC